CCCCAAAACCCCAAAACCCCAAAACCCCAAAACCCCGTCAAGCGATCTCAATCTTGTTTATTATAAAATGGAGTTACTCTTCCCAGAAATTAACGTTGTGGCTGACTGGACTAAAAGAACTACTGACCATGTGTATCATAAATGTATACTTCTAAAATTAAGACTCTTTCTCTTCTGGATTTGTTCTTTAAGTAGTCTTTTCTTTATGGCAAGGATTTTGGATAGGTAAGCTTCGAAGCTGATTGAACAGAGGGATTGAGCAAGACGGAGGAATAAAAGTGACAGTGGAAATGCTCATGGTGAGTTTGAGATAGGAATATACTCCCAAAAATCTCTCTACCCATTCAAGACCTTCTCTCACCAACCCAATTCATCCCCCATTTTGTCCAGAATAAAGCCCTGGGCTAGGCTCCTAGAAACCTTTTGCATTTTTAAGACAAATTTAGCCAGATTTTACCTGCTTGAGAGAAACTGAAGAATTTTGACTTTTTGAGTTACTTGGGTTTTTAGTATGGTTTTGTTAGAGATTTTGGCTTGTTGATGGTGAAAATTTTGGTGTTGACTTTTGTTTATAGGCTGTATTTGGAATGATGATCTTTACTCTAGATGTTATTCTTATTTCTATCAGAGGTATATTTCTCTGCTATTTGGGTTCAAGAGAGAGCAATTATGATATATTACTCCAAAGCTTGATGGATCCAATAATCTTACTGACATGGCTTGCTTATCAAATCTTATTAAGAAGGAATAATTTTCAGACTGATGAAACCCAAGAACTACAAAAGGATGATTTTAACTGGATGCTAACACTTCAACTGCCAAGAATTATAGATTCAGTTATTTTAGGTGTTAAAGCTTGCATTGCAAAATATTTTAGAGAGGATATGTACCAAAGACAGCACACAGAGAGTTTGCTTATCAATCGCAGAGAAAGCTATGGCAGCAGCCTGGATTCTTTCGTGGAAGAGCCCTTTTTGTTGCGAAATAATGTAAGTGAAACATTAAGCAATTTTAGCATCGAGAATCTGTTGAATTGGAAAGTTCGAATGTTTTGAGTATTTCTGATTATGAAATACCAAGTCTACCAAGTTTACCAAGTTGGGATTTTCCTGATTCTATGTCAGCTCACAACACTGAAGAGATACCTTTAGATAAGCTGAAAAGGTCTAAATATGAAGATTTAATGTGCAAGCTAGATTACAAAGACTGTTCAGTTTGATTGTGCCCATTTATCAAAGATCCTGATCACCTTCTTATTGTTCTTCCTTGTAATGCGAAAAGTAGCAAAATTCATGTTTTTCATGAAAGATGCATTTTAGAATGGTTAAAAACTCGCAAAATATGCCCTTTATGCCGTACCAAAATCACAACAGCAGATCTCTTAAGATACAACTCCAATGAAGAGCATAAAGGCCAATAATATCTCGAACTCTGACAATAACAATTCTCCTCCAAACTCCATCTCCTTTAATATTCTTCAAAATCCTCCAAACCTTCTGGGGTTTTGGGGTTTTGGGGTTTTGGGGTTTTGGGG